GCTCTTCTTGGTTTGGATTGGTGTTCGTGGAATACTGTGCAGCTCAAATAGACCTGCAAGAGGATTCCGATTAGGGGGCAAATGACGTAGGTCATGTTGGATAAACGACGCTTTTTAATTAGAAGTTCGCGATAAAAATGAAGGTCAATTAAGAGGAACATTGCATAGTTGGGAGACAGGCGGACCTCCTGAGGGTGCTGACCGACGCGCAATTGGCAGCGAAAGATTTGACCTCGGCGATCTAGCATGGCTCACTCTTGGCGCGGTTGGCGGGGTACGCCCACCGACTATCTAATCACTCGCCGCAGGTCTATACGTGGCGAGTGATTAGATAGCAGAGAGAGCGTAGTGTTGAAGAGGGCACAGCGATGAGAGTCGCATCAATGCGCAAATCAACGGGCAAGGAAGGGGTCCCATTTCTCGGGTTTGGGCCGTTTCAAATGGTTTCTTCTTCATCCCTGCTCCACTGACCACCTCTACCCTTATTTCCAATGAGCTAACTTTTCATCGTAAATTCTGCCTTTAAATGGATTAGCCCTCTTTAGTCTGAGCGATTAGGCTTCCCCATGACATCGATCCCATACCAAGCTTAAAGCAGCTCTTGAAGAAACACTCGCGTACTCAACTACCATTTATCTCAAATAAATCCTTATTTGATTTATCAAGGTTTGGTCTGACTTGATTATCAATTGATTATTTGACAGTTTTCAGCCAGAGTTCTTCAAAGCTCGTCCGTATTTGGAAACGAGAACAGATTACGGAGATATCACGGAACGACTTGAACTGAAGAAAACCTTACAATGCAAACCATTCAAGTGGTAAGTCAGGAAGTTTTTGATAGAGTGGAATGACACCTTCATTCAATCGGTAGCACCCGGTTTGGATTAGCGAAGTGTCATAAATTAAGTTTTCAATGTAGATGGGAATGACTTTCTTGCCCCCCCCCCCTTTAGTTTTCCTTCTGAACTTCTTCTTGGTCTGCTATGCATGAATGTCATCGGTCGTTTCCCTTTTTTCAGAATTAATGAAGGTTCACACGTTATGGCGCTATGGCAGTAAATTTTCTGGTCACGGTGGAACCTTGAACTCTCGTGAATTATTTTCTCTAAGTGGCTTTCCCATGGGTGGTCCATTTTCAATCAATACCATCACACTATAAAAAGATTACAATGATTATTGCCGTCGATGAAAACTGGTTTCTCAACTATTTCGATGTTAGTTTTTTCTCGTTCCAATTGTCGTCGAGCGACTCGAAAGCCCAATCTGATACGAAAACGATATAGAGGTCGAAAATGGAGGGAAACCACTAAGAATGGCTTTAGCGTAGGCACTTTTGGAGCTGAATTCTACCCTCAAAAGACATCGCCGCAAGCTTGTTATGAGTTGGCGAAAATCTGTTTGGTATGGTGACGATAGACTACACGCACAAGACCCGGGCATCGAATCCCAGCTTGGTCTCTGCTAACGCCAACCAACCACTCCATCTCGTTGGGTCATCAATTTAATTGAATTAGCACCAGATTGGTCTCGCAGTACAAAACTAGCGTTACAAGTGTCGGCCTCCTTAAGTTATTACATAGGCAGTATTGCGTTCTTACCCATTACCTATTATTGTAGAATTCGAACCCAAGTCGAATGCATGGCGCACACCAGAAATGGCCTTATTAGTGTACCTTTGAAATTCAGTTTGGAAAAAAACGCACGAACCTTAAATTGCAGAAGTATTTTTATTTGCTTCCTCTCTCTCTCATCGTGCGCAGTTTTTTATGGGGCTAATTGAATTTTCTGAATTAGGGCGGAAGTGGTGTAGTGGCAAGTGGCACGCTTACCACGCGAGCGGTCCGGGGATCAAATCCTGGGTCGTGAGTCGCCCGGGCCAACCAAGCCTTCCATCCCTCCGGGGTCGGTTAATTGGTACCAGACTTGTCTGGGAGGATAAAAAAAAAACACTGACTTGTACATCGGCTGGCCCCCGCAAGTCATTGTATAGGCCACATCGCATTCAAATGCCACTGCGAATGTACAAATGGAAGTAGAATGCGTGCCGCATCCCGCAGGACGGAATTGATTCAACGCAAAAGCTTTATCTTTTATCTTTTACATTGAATTTCTGATGAATTCAGGTACCTGGAGAACATCTATCCTGAGCTGCTGCCTGGCAATATTCCGGATAAGTTTGACATTGTGAAAACGCCTGTGCAAAATGGCAAGAAATTCCGAGCGCATATTTGATATTATGGCAGAGGACTTTCCTCTGAAGATGACCAGGTTTTCAGATCGCCTTGCCAACTCGTCGTTTTGTCTCACGGCCGAGTCTACAAATGGACGAATAGCCCGAGGAAATCGGGTCGAGATGGGAGTTTGTCATGCGAAACGCAACCAACAGTGGAGGTGGACCGAGAAATGACGACGATTATATCTGAAATTGTAACTTATTAGTTCCTTATACTTAGGCTATTGAATGAAACAAATATCTTTCGCGGAATGGGCGTAAAAACGGGTCAAGTTACAGAATATTCCAAAAATGGGGTCGCGCTGGCCTGGTGTGCAAAATTCCTTTTCTCGATTTCTTCTGTCCCCTAAAGATGAAGTGCGCGACAAGTGGATTAGCACTTTTGTTGCACTTTGTTTGTTTGTATTTTTTTGACATGCTTTTCGCTTGGGATTGCGCCTTTCTTGTGGCCAAGAAGTGCATGCAGACGCTGATTTGTAAAACAACGAAGAGCGCGGGGGTTTGGGTTAAGGAGTTTTCAGCGATTTCTTCTCAATTTCGGTCCATTTTGAATTCCAACTTTTCTATCCGTGGGGTGCTGTGCAGCAACTTTATCACGTAATTTGCTTTCAAAATGAGATATGTAACGTAGGATGAATGGCGATCAAACGACTGATCCTTCCAGGAAGCGCCATGCATCCAGCTTACGTTGGAAAACTAGTTTAAAAAACTGGGAAAACAATTTTGCAAAGAACAGTCGCGCTGCGCGAAATAAGGGCATTGGCCTGCCTATGCGGCTTCTTGAGAGATTCACATGCACTTCATAGAATCGTACACCATAGAAAAACCCAGTTGAGCGACAGTTTTCTGAACATGGAAGTAGAGATTTCTTCCTACTTGGGTTCATAAGCTGAAGAAAATGCGTAAGCGAAGCAAACCTTCCATCCTTCTGATTCCTAGGAACCGGAAGTTTTGGGAGGCGCCGCTGCATTTGCTCTTAGTTCCGATTCATCCCGAACGAACTAGAAAAACGATGTCGCCCTACATCTTCATGCAGGGAATAGTTGTGGCAACATGACGAGCTTTTGAAAAAGGCAGATAATTTTTCTCCTTTGTTTTGGGTAGTAATAGCTAACACACTGACGAGAGTGAGACGCGGTTGCGCGTCTCACCGTTGCCATCCCTTTTTTAGCGCATGCGCGGCTTCTCTCCAAATTGTTTTTACTTATTCTGTAGATCATACGTTAACCTAGCTGTAAACGTCGTGGTCCATGAAATGGTTAGATATGCTTGCACACAGCTGCTAACCTGTTTGTTTCGGGCATCGAGATTTGAGGGGAGGCTAGAGTCGGCGACGTTGCGCGCCGCTTGTAAACGCGCAAATTCCCATCTTCACACATTTCTAGTGATTTTTCCCACTCTCCAATTCCTGAACTGACTATATCCCCCATGGTTTACGGCCCCTTATTTTGAGCTAATGTTATTACTCTCTCGCTTAGAGGGCGCCGACATGCTGTCGCCTCCTTCCCAACTCCCATTGCACTCTTGTTTCGCTACTTTCAGTGTTGAGTTCCGAAAAACGCACCTTGTTGGACAATGAGACGCGGTTGCGCGTCTCAGAGATCGCGCCCGCCAAACTGCCCATGTCCCACGTTGCCAAAAAAGCCAAAACGCGCATTGTCGTCAATGTGTTAAAAAAGCTTGTGAATTTCAGAACGAGTTCCGCCCTATGGGCTCCTCTCGGCTGTGCCTCGACTCACTCAAAGGTGTCTCGTTGTTGAAATGCCATAACCAGCGCGCTCATCAAGACTGGCAAGTTACGGTAAGTTTTAGTATGCTTCTTCTGAAAGTACTGAATGAGACAGGTTGATGTTCAGAAGGAAGGCAAATTCTACAACAAAGCGATGGGCAAGTGCATCAAGGCTGACGCCGAGTTGCTGTCACTCGCTGTTCTTCAATTTTGCTCACTGGCCAGCAAATTCGTGGTTGAAGAAGTGACCGTTGTATGATGTCTCATTGTCAGCAGAGGTGCTGACCTCAAGTTATACGGGTTAATAAGAAGTGGAGAAACAGTTCCCATAGACCTAAAGCCAAGCCCGTGAGCTCGGTGTCCTGCAAGTCGCCCATGGTTGCTCTCTCATTACGAGTTCTCTACTAACCATAAGCTCTACTTTTCATAGACTGCTATAGGTGACTTCTTGAAGAACATTTTGTGGCACAAATAATACGTTATTAGGATTTTGACGATCTTCCTGTTCATTATGCCTTAACTTCAATGGTCTTTAGTTAGCTCATGCTCGAGCTAATCGCAGGGTCAACCGTGCGTTGGACAAAGTCCAACGAGGGGTGGGGTCGTATTTGGGGTGGGAAAAAGGGGGGGTCGTATTTCGCGAGGTAGCGTTAATGTTACAGTAAGGGAAGTGATGATGCAGTTGGTTGGCGCGCTAAAATTTTGCCGTTTCACGTGTGTATAACCCCCCCCCCCGCTCGACGGTAATTTTGGAGGAAGAAAGTGGCGGAAGTCTGTGCTGGTTGATTGTTGCCGTGCGGCGGGAGTCTGGCATGTTGTCGACTGGTCGAATACTATTAGATGGCCCCCATGATTGGCGGATGCAGGCTGGATGAAGGCGGGGTGACCCTGAGGAGGGGGTCGTTATCGAGGCCCTCTAGAAGGAGGGTCGTAAAATTTTGAAATCGGTCCTCCAAACATGACGGAGGAAGGTTACCCTGGCCGATCCACTCTTCAGTTCGGTCAGGATTCGGGGGAGTGGTTGTGAGCACAACCTTCAGGGGCAGGTGGAAACGCAGATGCGCTGGAGGGTGAAGCGAATTTGAGGCGTCATTGGTGGACCGGACCCCTCAGCCTGCAGGGTGTGACCGGGACTATCCCCAACGCCCTTACACCAGTCACGATCTTTAACATCACCAAAATCGCTCCACCCTTCAGCCACCGTGATCGGCCTTTAATCATCCATTCTGAGAGGATTTGAGACCATATCTTTCCTTTCCATTCACGCCTATGCAGCCAAATGGCCGACTGCTTCTGCTCCGTGTGCCTATGTGAGTTTGCTGCTCATCACATTGCTTTTTTTCGATGCTTTCAGAGTGGTCTATGTATATTTGTGACTCATCGCCGGTTTGTTTCGGCATATTCACTTAACTTTTCCCCATAGGGCCTTATACCGGCCATATTCTGCAAAATGTCGTCTGCTGAAATCAGGAATTCTTGGAAACTGAGTTTGAGACTTGCGCAGTTAAATTTCGAAACAGTACAGTTTTTGCAAAAACGGCTGACATTCAAGCTATACTCTATTTTCTCCCTCGGGTACTTGGCGTAATTTGAGAAAATTGATATTTTTGCATCTTTGATGGTTATGATGCGGTTGATGCTGTAGCGTTCCCGACCGCGGGAAACAAAGTGCAAATTTGGGCGCTATCGCAAGATGTGGGGGCATTGTGACAACAATGCATTCAAAACTGCGTAAAACATCCCCTTTCCGTCAATCGAGTCTGAGGTTCAGACGAGGCAGGATAGATGTCAAGTTTGTGGGCAATTTTCATTCTCCCCTAAGTTCTTGCCCCTCCTAGGCTTGGTCCTAGAGGATGCCCCCGTACCTGCGATAGTGCCCAAAATTGCATTTCTAGCGCTGTTGCTTGCACGGAGTATCTCCATGATTTATTCTTTCCTAAGGCCGACTTATGCCAGCTTGATATGGTTGGAACTAAGGCTCCTATATTTTGACGGAAAACCTTTCACTCTTTTCTGGTTGTACTGGGTAGAATGTTCGACGTGTATCTCGCACATTCGTGATTGTTTGTATTACTCAATTTATTTGTTAAAAGTGCCTTATTGATTGGCTGTTGTTTACTGCTATATTTCATGTTTACATGGTTGTGTAACATGCACCAAAAATACTGAATAAATAAAAAATTTGAAATACTGATTTCTTCACAGGCTGGAGAAGAGCACAAATGCTCTTATCTTACACCCAATTTCACACAATAGTGCCCAAGGACGCCTTTCCTGTGCTGAGGGTTCTCCAGCTACATATCCTAGCTAAAGTATCATTGTTTGGCACAGAATGGGTATATAGCACAAATAAGGGTTTACCGCCCCCCCCCCCTCCCTTCCCCACAGTAGTCTGGTGTCAGATAATAGCCAATCTGATGATGGAATCGTTGCCTAGCCTGGACGAAACTAAAGCCGCGAAAGTAGGACCTTGCAATTCTAGTAGCCTAATGCTAAGTAATGCCTTGTTGTTCAAAGGATTATTCCATGATTAGGCCGAAGGTTAAGAAGGGGAAGCTCACTAAGTGGAAAGACAGGCGGAACCCCTGAAGCTGCTGACCGCCACGCAATTCGCAGCGAAGGATATGCCCCGGCGACCTAGCATGGCCGTCCCGCGGCGCTATCGACGCGGCACGCCCACCGACTGGCTAACCACTCGCCGCAGGTCTCTAGCCGTTTAGCAGAGAGAGCGTTAGCGTTGAAGAGGGCAGCACCTAATGAGAGTCGCACAATGCAGAAATTAAGCTGGAAAGAAGTCCCTTTCCTCGGGTGTTGAGTCGCTTCTCATGGCTTTATCTTCATCCCGGTGCCACTAACCACCTCTACCTTCATTCTAATTCACAAATCGAGCCGCAACCACTACCCATTATAGTTCTTCAGACTCGCTAGTTTCTGCAGAGTTTCTCACAAAGTGGAACCACGGCCCATCGTCCCAACTGTTACGAGTTCTCTGGAAAAACCCGATTTTTCCAAAACCGCTAATATAATAATAACTGAATGCGGATT